TATGCGATCAGATGTTAGCCATCGCTGGAAAGAATGTCGACTTAAAAGTGTTTGATTTGAATACAAAACAATCGATATTTACGGCGAAGTCATTATCGCACGACTGGTTGGGACTCAAACCCCAGACATGGATCTCAGGTGTGGAATGGGTCGGCGGTAACTCGAAGAGCAACACATGTCCGTCTTGGGTCGCCACCTGTTCCCGATCCGACTCTATTGTCCGCATTTACGACATGAAATGCAAACAAAGGAAACCCGTTATGAATATCAATCTGAAGGACCAGACGTTTAACAACGACTCGAATCCGCCGTCATTTACGGCCATTCGGTCGACATGTCTGCCGCACACCATTGCAAAGCCCACACAAAACCTAATCCTCGGCACAACCATTGGCCGAATGATGGCTTTGGATCTGAGGTTTAGTTCTCAGAATTACCGCTATTTGGGTGTCTTTAAAGGGTTCGGCGGCGGAGCTATTCGTGACATTCAATACGTCCCACAAAATCATTATTCATTCAAAATATTGAGCTGTAGTTTAGACCGATTCATACGAATACATAATTTCAAGACATCTTCTTCGAGCACAAGAGCTATGGAGACCAAGATTTACCTGAAGACAAGACCGACATGTGTTTATCCCATTTGTAGCTCTAATCCTAAGCAAGAAACCTATGTTATGGATACCGACGACGACGACTACGAAGATTCAGACAATGAATAGAATAGGGTTTAGGAATGAATGATAACTTTAATGTATTGTAAGTTTAATCTCTAATAATAATGAGTGATTTAAATATGAGTTGTATTTAACGTATAATAAAGTAAAGCATTTGTTAGCAATAATTAGAGAGTGAATCGTAAAAGTAGTCTAGAAATGATATAAACAATCATTTGATGGACAGTCATATCCATACTATAAGCCATAGAAATATCAATCAAATGATACAAATAATCTATTTTATCAAATATAATGTCTAATCATTTGCTCATTTATTGTCGAAAATAAATAATAAATATAACTTATATTTGGATAAACCGGTAATAATTAAATACAAATTATTTCGCAACAAATCAATGATAAAACACACAAAAGTTGTACAAAATTATGATTCTTCCGTCGAAACGAAGTTTTATTGCAAATAATTAGCGTTTTTATTACTGCCAATAATTAACTAAACAATGTATTATATTTTTGAACGTTTTGTTGATTTTTTATCACGTTTTACGTGATATTTTGTATCTGAAAATGATTCCTATTATATTTTATTGATTTATTTTTTGTTTGAAAACTTAACATTAATTTTATTCGAAAATAAAAAATTCAAAAATCTTTAATAGATATTTAAATCACTCAAAAAATTCATTTAATGCTTAAATATTACAAGTATTTACAGACGCGTGGCTTCTGTTATATAATCACAATTTCTGAATAGAGAGGGTTTCGGTATACTTGTCCTCCGAGTGGTCATTGTATTGGCGATTGTATTGCAATTATAAACTCCTATCGCAAAGGGCTTGTCGTCACAACATTTGGCTTTCAATGATTTCATGTCTCGATTCACGAGTCTATCAATTGATATAACGAATAAAGACTATAATATCAATACTATTTCAATGGTTTTAATACCTTTTCTTCAGTCTTAAGTGTTGATTATTAGGCAAAAGGAATGTAATTAAAAAATCTGAAAACAATGTTTAAATAAGTTAAACAAAAATGGCATTCAGTGTATGTAAGGTTGTGCTGACCGATCAGCGCACAGACGCCCACCAGAGCTATCATTCCAGACCAGCCAAGAGTGTCAGTCAAGTGTTGGGAAGCGAAAGCCCCGGCGATGTCTGCTATCACCTGATTATACAAAATAAACGCTTGTATTTGGAGATGGATTGAAGGGATGGCTTACAGTTGACATATAGACGAGTCCAATGTTAATACTGGCGAACCGTTCGCCAAATGCTTCGGTGATCGCCGACGGCATGAGTGCGTACTGCGAGCCAACGATACCGACCGCACAGACAACACATACGGCGTAAACCATGCGATGAGTATATGGAGTGAGAGGAAGGGCTACCACAAGGATTGTCGCCAAACAACTCAACGGCAAACAACAGATCTGATCGGTTTTGAACACAATTGTTATTGTAATTGTGTTTTACAAGTGCTATAATTGGCTCACTTTATAAGTGGTCATGTCTTTGAGATGCCCGACAAGAATACGGCACAATGTGTTGCAAACGGCGGCCGACGCGCCGACAATAGACAGAAAAAAGTCGTCCGCAATGAAAGTCTGACCGAAAGGCTGTTATATTCAACACAACTATATTTAACACCGTTTTGTCAATTCATTTATATTTAAATATCAATTTTTAAAAATACATTAAATTAAATATAAACTCCGAAACTCTGTTCGCATGGAGAGAGAGAGAGAGAGAGAGAGAGAGAGAGAGAGAGTCTTTAAAATCTAGAGAAATTTAACGCCAGAGTTGTTGTCAAAGTTGATGAGAACAGCCTTTCCATCGATTTCCAAACACTTCAACGCTTTGATTAAAATGTCTTCATTGAGCCCATGAAAGGCATAGTCGACGGTCTGCTCACCGGATGTGATCTCATANAGAGAGAGAGAGAGAGAGAGAGAGAGAGAGAGAGAGAGCCATTAAAATCTAGAGAAATTTAACGCCAGAGTTGTTGTCAAAGTTGATGAGAACAGCCTTTCCATTGATTTCCAAACACTTCAACGCTTTGACTAAAATGTCTTCATTGAGTCCATGAAAGGCATAGTCGACGGTCTGCTCACCGGATGTGATCTCATAGAGCGTACAAACAGTATTGTTCAGTGACTTCTCTTCCACCCATTTGTGGATCAGTTGAGCCCATTCTTCGGGTCGCTTCCAATACACATAACATTTGTCTTGTCTTTTCTGATCCAACCATTCAATGAGACCATTGGAGTGCAAGTCGTTGAGAATGACTCGAATTGAATCCAAAGACAATTGTCTGTTAATCTTATTGTTCCTAAAGAGCGGTTCGTTAATGGATTGGTTCACATCCAAGACATAACCACTGATGGACTCGTAATAATCGACAATCAGTTGACGCCAAGCCTTCAGCTGTTGTTTTCTGGTCTCGAGGTTTGGCTGAAGTGTGAAGAATGGCTCAAAATTGTAGTGAAATGAGTTGTCCAACACTTGGGAACCGTTGGCTGACATCTTATAAAACTCTTTTGTCGACAATTAATACAACAATTGATTCATTCATTCAATGATTACTTTTTTAGACGCGATTTAAATGATTGAAACATAAACTGAGGGATCGTTTCCTTATATCCAAACATTTACTCAAAAGTAGTTTTGATTCAAAACTTTTGAAACTATTTTCATAATTACGTTAATAATTATTGTTGAAAATATGAATTTATAAATTGAAAGTTTTATGACATCTAAATTAAATTACTGTAACAGTAAGTAATGGTAAGCAAAAGCAAGTTTTTGCATATAAATGAGATGTTATAATAGTTTTAATAATAAGTTTCTCTTACTTTATAGACGAAGAGAAGATAAAAGAAGACCAATTCTGTGAGCATTATCTTTGTGGACAAAATGGCAAACTCTTTGGTAGCGATGGCCTGTCTTGGAGTCAATCCCTCTTCTGATGAGATATCATTGAGTTTTTCATTCAATACATCTTTCTTCATATAAACGGCAGAATCGGTCGGAAATGTCTTTATTTTAATTATATAAACAATTCAATTATTGTTTGAATTTCTAAATATTTTTATACAACATTTGAATAAAGCCTTCAGGAGTTGAATAACAAAATAATGATTGCTATCAATTGCCAATTATATTCAAATCAAATCATTAATTACAAATCATTTCACAAGTTTTACAATCGTTTGAGACACTTGAAATACCGTAACTTTATGTTCATTAACGTTTTATATAGTATTTAACCTTTTATTAAATTTGAAATAGAATTAAAAAATCTTTTCAAAAATAGCGTTTTGTTAATTTCTTTGAAACTAAATTATCTTCTATCGCCAATATTTACTTCATATTATGTTATAATATCAACCAATTTATATCACTATTCTGTTAGTTCTTTTAAATAAATCATTTTAATACTATTTACACAATTTTGTGTATAGAATTTAAATACAAATTATTGATTATACTGCATTTGCATAATTGTAAAATTGCTATAAAATCTATTATTAATATCTATGATATTTATATTTATAAATTGCGTTAATTCATTACGGGCATTAATTGATTTGCTCACATCAATATAATAAGTAATATTGTACTGTATTGTATGATCCAATTTATACAATTATACAATTTGTATGTGCAAAATGAAATAATTAGGGAACAATGGTATCAAAATATGCATAAATTGTAAATGCATTCACACAACTTGTTTAGGAATAGAATTGAATTGGAAATACCAATTGATAACTTGACTTTAGGCCAAAATGATCTTTAGCTTCAAATCTCTCAAACCTGTATTAAAGCCCTCAAATGGGCTCAAAATATGATAATGTCTTTATTTTAATAATATGCAAGGTTATAAGTTGCAATAATTATACTACAATATATAATTATTATTTATAGATAATATTTCAATTTAATGTTGTTTTGCTTAATTTATGGTATATGGAAGATATTATCGTTTATATTATTTAAATTAACAAAGATTAATTTAGAGCTTATTTTAATCCAAACATTTACTTTATAAGTATTTGTTAATAATTTTGAATAGTATTTTAGTTACTGTATTAAGAATTTCAGAATTCAAATTGAATGATGAGATAAAAATTTAAGATTTAAATTTAAAATACAATATATTACTGTTATAGCTTTATCGACATTCACGAGGCATTTCTAGAGTTGCAAAATATTTTGTATGCAGTAATGTAATAATGTAATAATTTAAAATAATAATTTGCAAACAAGCAATAACAATGACATTTTATCGATTCAATGGTTATTAGATAAGAATTAATGGTAAGCATAGCTAACGAACCTCTTTATCCGTTTTAGCAGTCATCGATTGGTTCGGTCTTAATGTTAATCACTTTGCTTTTGGCGCAGAGATCTATTCGCTTGATTTGTCCCAAATCGTCGCCAATCAATACACCCGTCAGTGATGTTGTCTTCGATGGTGTCATCTCATGAAGAGGTGATGTGTTTGTGTCCATCGCTGCCATCGATGGTGTGAACGCGTGTTTCAATGCATTCAACACTACATTCACTCAAAAGCATTGCATTTTGTATTGCATTTGACTCTCAGTTCACACTCTTCTCAACAGATGTCATACAATACTCACTTCAATAGCCCTTTAAAACAGGTATCGATTCTTGGATTCACAGAAAGTATTGATTCACACCATTTGCCACACATTTATCGGCAATTCTTAGTCTTAATACACTTTTTGGGAATATATTAAATATAAAACTTTTATGAAATTAAAGCCCTTTTCATTAAAAAAGACTTATAATTAAATTTATTACAAAATTTAGATTATTACTAAAAAACAGATAATTCTGTTATAATTCACAAGAATTTTTATCAACTTTATAATAAAAACTTCTTATTATTAGCGTTTTTAAAGTTTTGGTATAAATATAAGGACAAATTATAAAATGTAATACTGAATCACAAATACAATATATAATTGTTATAATATAAAAGTCTCGCGAAAACCAATTCAATATTTAAAAATAAGTAAATTAAAAAACTGTGCGAATCCAGTGGTAAGAGTG